TAAAAGAACTGATTCTCTACAGGAACTGGTTCGCAGTAGTTCAGTTTCTTGGACTCGTTAAGCTGCTTGCTTAACGGTTCTGCTGATCGGTTCCCGTGCCATGTGCCGTATTTGCGTGATCACATGCAGTGATATTGGAATCGTATTGATTTTTTCTTATAAATCTCCATCCCCAGTTAAACTCTTTGATTTCTGACTAATTTCTCCATTTCCTCTTATTTTGTCAGAACTCAGTCACCCAGCAGGACGACCTCTGACCCAGAAGACCTGGTGGAGCTGAAGATCTGCATCGTGGCCGACCCCATGATAGACGTTGCCTCTCCTCTAGGTGAACTCAGAGCTTTCAATAATCAATCAAGTTTATTTATATAGCAGGTTTCAGCAACATGGCAGTTGCATCACAGAAACAATTTAAATATGACATTTTGTCGTTGTTACACGTCAGGTTATTGATTAATGTTTCATTGATTATTAACCACCTGGATTTTAGTCGAGATTTAAAGGCTCTCAGTGTTTCAGCAGTTTTACAGTTTTCTGGACGTTTGCTCCAGATTTGTGGTGCATAGAAGCTGAAAGCTGCAGGAATCAAAGCCTGGATGAGACTTTAGTCCTCCGGTCCTGGAAATGTTCTGCAGCTGGTAGAAGGCCCACTGTGGAACCCGAGGGTCAGGTCAGAGGTCAGAGGTCAGCCTGATCTCTGGTCTCCAGCTGGAAGAACTCTATAACTCTAGATCTATGACTGGATCGTTCCTCTTCAGGTTCAAAGAACAGTTTTGTCTCTGTTCGGCGTGTTCAGGTCTCCATGGTGACCAGCTGTCTTTATTCCTCCCAGTGTTGCAGAAATGCCCCATCCTGAGGTTTCAGTGTCCCGGCTCCCTTCAGGAGGCCGAGTTCCTCCGCTTGCTGCGGACGACCTTCCCTCAGCTGGCTGGAGAAGCGCTGGACTTCCTGACCGGTCTCGGCAGCGACGTGAAGCCCATCAACCTGCAGAATCTGACGTCGGATGACATCAGCAGGACCCTGAGATCAGCCAGCGGGTCTCTGCTCTTCATCCGCCTGAAGGTCAGAAGCCTTTTCTCTGTCCTGTGAGGCTCCAGCAGCGCATGGCCAGGCCTCAGTGTTCAGGTGGGGAGGTGTCGGCTTCATTCGGGTCTCAAACTCTTCCAGGAGCAAAGTAACGCCCAGACCAGCGAGAAACGGAGTCGCGTCGACGTTTCTCCTGCCAGGTAAGTCCTGAATATCAGTCCAGGCTGTAGTCGGATCTCTGTGGGGATTTAAATATGAAACGAAGCGTGAAGATGCGGCGCTCGGTTTGCAGAGGTTTGAGACCAAACCAGGCCGGGGTTTGTCGGGGTTTACGTTTGTACTCGTAGAAGAGATTCAGATTCGGTTCGAAAGCTGAGTTCTGTTCAAGAAAAATGTTTCTTTCCTTTAATAATTAAAAAATAACCTTTTCAAAAGGTTATAGGAACAAAATCTGCATCTTCAGGTCTGAGTTGTAAACTTTCAGTGTTGGACTCACTTCTGCTAACAGTGGAGCTAATTTTACAGTTAGCGCTTTAGCTAACTGTTAGCTAACACTTAGCGCTAAATCCTTAACTTAGCACTTCGCTTGGCTGTTTTCTCATCTTTCTCTTTCTGTTGATAAAGTTTGACGCCTTTGTTGAAGTTTTGGTTATTGACTGTTAAGAATAGTCGATAACTTATATTGATGCTCTTATTTTGAAGTAGATGGACATTGCTTACGCAGCAGGTCAGTTTCCTGTTTACAAACAAGAAACATACAGGAACAAAAGAAATGAAACTAGACAACAAGATACAGGCATAAAAATCTAAGTCAACTGTAGACCATTTAAGTTGTGTAAGAATTAAACTGATGGCTTGGCGCGTTAGCATTAGCTCCTGCTAACCACTGGAGTGTTTGAAGGTTTGTGAGGCGGCTGCAGAGCGATTGTTTCCATCTGGTTTAAACATCGTTAATGTATCTTATAGGCAGGGCCTCTTTAATACGCTGTGGACAGACATGTTTCATGTTAATGCAAAGCTTCCTTTAGCCATGCTAACTTATGTTTCATCTGCAGCAAAAATAGAATAAAACGAAGGAAAACATCACAGAGTCGATCCAGCGGAGCGTCCAGTGAGGACGTTGAAACCGAAGACAGTGAGGACAACGACCATCAGAGAAATGTGAAGTCCACCGAAGTCTTGGGTCTGGAGACCGTTACGGCCAAACAGAGCGGTCCTCCTGTGCAGGAGACGGACAAACATCCTGAACCCACGGCAAACACGGACGACGAGCGGACGGACGACAGCGACGATGAACGGTACAACCAACATCCTCTGGTTTGCAAGCTCTCTCTCGGTCTCCCGCAGACGGGGTCGTCTGGGCAGATTTCAGCGCCAGAAACAAAGACTGAACCTGCAGACCCAATGGGACAGAAACCTGCAGCCGCGGCGGCGAACAGCCAGGGAGACGATGGCGAAACGGAGGACAGTGAGGACTACCACGACCCTGGAAGCGCAGAGTCTTCCCGGCTGTCGTCGTTTCACCCCAGGAGGCCGGAGAATGAAATGAATCAAGACACGAGCAAAAAACGCGTGAAGACGAAGAAGAAGAAGAAGAAGAAGGAGAGAGAGAAGGAAAGGAAGGAAAAGAGGAAGGACAGAGAGAAGAAGGGGAAGAAGAAAGAAATCAAACTGGAAGTTGGATCGACAAACCAGAGGATGGAAGCGGTGCAAATAGTTGATGGTGAGGATGGAGGTGATAAAAACGCCACAGTCTGGTCTCTGCAGCCTTGGACGTTTGGTACAGATGCAAAGAGACAGACAAGTACAGGAGCTGTGGAAACAGCAAAGAAGAAAAAAGTTGAGCTTTCACCAAACAAAGAGACGAACGGCAAGACAGAGGAGGTGGAAATCATCGACATTGAGGATGATGATGATGGAGACGAAGCATCTTCCCAGCCTCAGGTATCTGGTCAAGATGCAAAGCAGCAGAAAACCAGAACGGAAGACGGAGATGAAGAGAAGCATGCAGCAGCGAAGACGATGGAGAACATGGAGGCGGTGGAGATAGTTGATAGTGACGATGGAGACGGGGATGAAGACTCATCGACTCCTCAGCCTCACGTATCTGGAAGAGACTCGCAGCAAACCAGCGCAGAGGCAAGGAAGGTGTTGGAGAATTCAACCCCCGGGCCTTCAGCTGCCAACACAGACGGCAGTTTGCCTCCAGCTGTTCAGAAGCCTCAGCATCTGTGTGAAGTGTGCCAAACGTACCACCAGTCGAGGGGAATCCTGATGAGACACGTATGGAGGAGCCACGTCAACAACCAGGGCCTCGTCTGCGGAGTCTGCCGCCAGCGCTGCGACTCCAACGCTGCACTCAAGGAACACCTACAGACTCACAAGAAAACCTACACCTGCAAGATCTGCGGGAAAATGTTCTTCACCAGAAGTGGCTGCCGGAGACACATGATCCGACACAAAGGTAACGGCTGAAAACACAAGACTGAAGCCATTATATTCATGAAAACACCAGAATAGTTTCACTGTTGGCTGGAAGAAAATCTCACAACGATGAGAAAAATATTTAAATTTGAGAAAAAGCTCAGATGGACTTGATGAGATCAGCAGCTCTGGGTCTGTCTGTGAAACTGATTCAGTCGTTTAAAGAATCGTTTCAAAGTCCTGCAGCTCATAATCATTTAATTCTGTTTAAAGAATTTAATCATTATAAACCGCTCACAATAACACAGTTTTCTGGATGATAAATTGACCCAGAAGTTATTGTGATAAATGATAATATTGTTGTTTTGAGATAATTTTCAACTAGTGTAGTGGTCATAGCATCATAATGCATCATTTAACATTTAACACTGGAGCAGGAAGACATTTAAAATACGCAAAATAAACAAAACAACAAATAAAATGAATTATGAAATGTCTGGAAACAAAAGGAACCAGAGTTTATCATCCAGTTTTCAGGAGAAAAGGAAACATGAAATCATGCAAATGGAAATTATTTTAATTTATCATATGATTAATTAGTTTTTTATGACAAACCATGATTGACAAGATGCTCAGTATTTCTCATTTTAACGCAGTTTGGTGTGGAGTGCTCATGGAATTACAACTTTATGCTCATATTAAGAACAAAACAAATAAGAAACTTCCTCATTTGCTCCTTATTCTCATCATAAGTAACTGACTGAAGCTCGCAGAGAAAAGCCAGAAAAGACGACGAGAATTCACTGCAAACGCAGAACAATGTTGTTGCACAAGATGATAAAAAGCCAAATATCTTTTGAAAAGGAATAAGCTGAAAAGCCGACAAGTTTTGAGTCTGAAAACACTTCAGTGAATCTTTTTCCGTTTTGATAATCACAAACTGATCGGTCGCTTTCTGAGTTTACTTTTACAGCAGCTGACCAAATGCTCCACAATTTACCAAACATAAAACAAAGTTTAAAACATTAAAAAGTTCACTGAGCAGGAAACGGCTTAAAGCCATTTAAACCTGAATTAAACAGTCAGAATATGAAGCATCATTGAAAGTGTGTTGTAAATCCGTCTGTAGGGGGCGATCCTGAGCAGAAGTAGCCTGAAGCCGTCTGGACGTCGTCTGCAGAAGAAAACTCAGGAAAAACGGCAGCAGAACCACAAAAAAACTGAAAAACCGTAACAGCAACATCTGGATATCAACTCCTGTTGGCGTCGTTCAGCAGAATCCAGGTACAAAATGTCAGAAAAGCGTCTGCTCAGGCTGAGTTGGGTTTCCAGAGTTCTGGTTCGGTCCGGCGCACTGAATGAAGGAGGAAACGTTTTTCCTTTGGGTCCTTCTTGTTCCTGTTACAGCTGTTCGTTTATGTTTGAGGAGGATTTCCTCTGCTGCTCCTCGCTGCCATGTTGAAACTGTGACCAACTCACAGGTTTTGGTTTTGAAGCTCCGTGAAGTGGAAGCTTCTCTTTCCTGGGAGTTCCTCTCACTTGGGACGTTTCTTAATAAAAAGTGACAAAACGGGTTCAGCATAAATTCCTGGATATTATTGAGTTTTATGAAGATTTCATATTTTTAGGGTAATGTCTGGAAACCCTGACTTTTTTTAAGTACCCAGACGATTTGAAGCTGACAAGAGTTTTTCTTGTTGTTTTGAATTCTGTTTGAGATGTTCTTTGTTAATATTTTAAATAAATCCTTCAGTTTTTAGTTATTGTATTTCTGCCATGCTGTGGTTTTTCATTTGGTTGAACGGTGTACTGGACCACAAGAAGTGGCATAAATGAAGGCACAATTATTCACAATTATATTCTCAGTTATCAAACTTTACAAGCTGTGTGTTGTGTGTGTACATTTAAAATATTGTAATCAGGCTTGAAATGTATCAAAAATGTGTCCAAGGCCACTTTTTAGAGCCACCTGGCATTTCTGTGAGTGGGAGTTTGTGTGAAGGAGTCACCAGGAGGGCCTGATCAGCCAATCAGAGGCAGCCCTCAGAAAGCCTGCACTGGACAGACGATTATAAAATAAAGGCTTTTCTACTACACTCATTAACAGAGGGACAGAGAGTTAAGGAAATAAATTAATTATTCTTATTTTGATATGAGACACTGTTTCAATTAATAAACAAATCCAAAATAACACAGAACGCCTTCAGATGCTTTAATGAAAGACCATTGAGACTCCTGGCAGAACCCAGAGTGAAGAAGAGGTGAAAGCTTTTAATATCCACCAGCCCTCCAACAGAGGAGAGAAAACGGGAGGTTCCCACCAGTTTCACTTTAATTTACAACTTTGGTATTTCAACCTGCAGACTGTGACCCTGGAGAGTTCAAACCCAGTTCAGAAATACCAGTTATTATGCGTTTCCAGTGAGCTGCCTCCAACATGAAGGGAGCTTTAGAGATAAAATTGATTGATTGCTTAAGTTTTGCCGTATAACAGTCACAGGAGGAGTAACGCTGTCATATGTGTAGAACTGCAGCTGCAGAGGTGAAGGCAGACTGATGTTTTCAGTGTATTTCTGCCAAACTGCGTGGTTTTTCATTTGGTTATGTTTTTCCTCCCCAAGTACCGAAAGTCAGACGGCCGTCCAAAAGCTTTTGATACAAAGAAAATATTTTTTACTGTAACAAGAGGGGCAAAGCTATAATTATGTCTAGAACAGCTTTAAAAATTCGGTTAAAATTAGACAAAGAATTAAATACATATTTTTAGACCATGGTCTAATGAAATTAATTTAAATAAACCGAATTAATGTATATAAAATGTTTAACTTGTTTTGTTTTTTTAGATTAATTATGTTTAGATTACGTCCTAATTTCGGATGCAGCTGTAGAGGCGAACACAAGATGGCGCCACTGATCCTTTCTGCCAGTTTTCAGCCGTTACGTCTTTCCTCCCCAAGCACCGGAAGTAGATCTATCCAACGGCCGTCCAGAAGTTTTTAACAAACAGAGGAAATCCAGGATGTTTTACTGCAGCAGCAGCGGTTCCGATCCACTCAACATGTCTAAGAGCGGCATCCTGAGAGGAATCATCACCGAGAAGCTGAGCACCGCCGCCCGGGAGATCATAGCGGTGGTGGAGCGGACCGTAGCCGACTACGAGAAGGAGGCGTCGGGCTTCAGACGGGAGATCGACCGCCAGAGGAGGCAGCTGGAGCTGCTGCAGCCGCAGGTCAAGCTGCACAGAGGAGGTCAGTGGTGGACTGGAGAGGCGCAGTTTTGCTGAATTAAAGCAGCTGGGATGTTAATCAGATGTTTGTTTGTGTGTGGGAAGCCAAAGCGGGGCTCCCGGACCTGCAGAGCCATGAGGTGGTGGTTGTAGGTGAGGAGCAGCGGCAGCACGCAGGTAGGAACAGCTCACTGCTTTTAACGCTGTTAATATACCGAACTGAACTGGTTCAAAATTAACGTTTCTTTATATTTATCACAACAAGAAGTCTTGAGTTACTCATTTTAATCGCAGCTCTTTGT